GTTTTGTTATATTAATGCTATAGATCTAGGCATATGAATGTGTACATTGTGTGCCTTAATTGCGATTAAATAGCCTGCATATAGCTAAGCATACATGTATTCCAGTGATGTTACAACCAATTTTACCAAACACTCATCATTCTATTCATTTAGTGCCAGCTATCTTGAATAGGCACCGTAGTAATCACAACTCTACACTTCATTTACAAAGTCTGTCAGATGATAGAATAACTTATTGCATCTAATGTCCATGTCCTTATATATGCAATGTCAGTTGTCAGAACTGATTCTGAAATTCTGGTGGTTATACTGTAATTTAGGAAATTTATGCAGTAGAAAATTTTGTGTTTTAAAATTGTACTATGATTTAATTTTTATGTATTAAGACTGTGTCATGTATCATTAAATGTGGCATGTAATTATATGCATGATCTAGTTTTTTCTTGCAAAATTTTAGTCCAATAAAATTGAAATTACAAGAAAAGTTTTCAGATAGACAGCAGCACTTTTTACATGATTGGCTTTAAAATGCTGCATTTTAGTTACTGTACCATTTGACCCCTTTAAACTGCCTCTTTCATACTTCTCTCATTCTTTTTTGATCCCTCTATTTTTTTTTTATTAAAGCAACATCTCCCATTCAGCCAATAAAGCCTAGAGGCTAAATTGATACTACATAACTTTTCTGAAATGGCATAGTGTCATAAGGATGATCATTGCAATTATATTACCAAGCGCTAGCGCTTGGTATGTAGGGTTGAGTTGGACGAGCGCGCCCCCAAAATGGCTGCCATTCCGGGCCAGAAGCATTGAGCCCCTGTAATATCTTTAGAAATTTTGTGGCTTATCTGACAGTCCAGATATCCTTTATAATTTCATCAAAATAGTTCAGTGTTATAAAAAGTAGTAAAAAACTTACATAAGATAGTTTTACGGCAAATGAATGCATGCATGCCTGCATGCACCAAATGTTCAGGTTTGTTCTTCTTCCACAGTTAAGTAAGAACTAGTCCTAGAGTTTTTATCCTAAAACTATGATTTTGCACCATTGTGCTGTGTTTCTGGGACGCTAGTGCAGTGTGGCTTGGCATTGTAATTCTAGAAAATGATTTCTCTCGTTATTTTCTAGCACACATGGACTGCACCAAGTGGTTGGACGCCATTTTATTTTACCCAACTGCGCATGCTCAGAAGAAAGTTCAGTAATTTAATGGAGAGTTGGAAGCTGAGGTTAACCTATTAATAATATCTATAATAATATCAATGGGTGTAATATCTATGGGTTAACCCTAACCCAGAGCCCTTTACAATTACTGACTGAGATTAAGGTAATGTGCGTGCCTAAAGACACGACTGTCTACTGATACCAATCGTTTCAAGTGAGAGAAATTATTCTAAATAAACGTCAATAATTTTATTCCTTAGTTCAGTACCCACTGCACTGAGTTCTGTGTTTATAATTCGTGTACTTCATTGTACTTGAATCTCTTCAAGTAAGGGTAAGTATATAGAGTAAATTGTTGGTTTTATACTTTGAGTAAAGCATTGTATGTATAATGTTAAAGGGTGGGGGCTTAAATGCCCTCTTCATGTCATGGATTGACTCTGTTATTTATGCCCATGTGCAGTCATGTGGGTTAGCTTAGGGAGTGGCTTGTGTCTGTGTGGACCATGCCCTACTACAAACATGTATTATATTTAAGCCACTGCAAATAGATTTGCTTTCCCATTTTATGCCCAGATGGTCCCCCATCACTATTTGTTATACTTTGTTATATTTACAATAATTATTCTCAATTATAAAAGTGTGATTAATTCCCATGGAAATTGATAGAGCATTGCCATGACAACAAGACTATTTGTTTACAGTCTTCAGTTAATTTCCTATTCTTTAGCAGCTTTAGTGGAGCAATAGCCACTTGTTCTGTTTCTGTTACCTTCTTGTATTAACCTCTGCCTCAAAGCTCCTTGCTGTAAATTTTTGCTGGTCAGCCGGTCATGATATAAACTGTACCCAAGCCAGTAAACACTAACTGGAATGGGTGTAGAGTTCCAAGATACGGCAAGTAAAGTAGTTTTTAAAAGAACTGGTTAAAGCAGCTTCAATAGCAGCCACGAATATATCCCAACCTATAGTATATTGCAGTTGGACATTCACATAGTTTATACAAGTGATATTAAATAAATAATAATGGTAATAAACAAACCTCCCTGCCCATGGATACTATGATTGGAGTAGCCTTAGCGAAGGATCTTTATTAGGGCAAAAATATTCATTATTTATAATGCTTATTAATTAGCAGGTATTGCTACAGTGAAATAAAATAGTGGATATGAAACGAGGAGTCAGGAGCTTATTTCCAGCAAAATAAGATTGTACTCCTGTCCAGCAGCAGCATATGGATAAAGCTTAAAGCATGTGACTGTTTCTATAACTATACTACAGGTATGTGTACACTAAACTGCTTGCTTGCTTCTTTTATTCTACATTTTGCATCCTTCAATGTTTGGTGTTTATTTAATGAAAGCCCTTAGTGCTGAAGTAAAGTCCAAGTACATTTACAAAATACATTTATAAGTACAATTACATGCTTTTAATAATAGTACTTAAGTATAAGTTCAAGTACGTACCTTTTAAAGTAGATTTAATTACATAATTACAAACAATTTTTAATCAGTGTTGCATTGATTATTTTGAAAATTTGGAGGGAATTAAATTTGGCAAATTTGGCATTTTCATAACCATACGCCAAAACAAAAATCTGCCAGCCACCAAAATTTAGCAAAAAAACAAATTTAACTCCCTCCAAATCGTCCCACCATATGGTAAAACCTTTAATACATGTACATGCACATGTAGTTTAGAGCTGCTAACTGGTTTTAGGTTAACCGGTTATGTAAAAATGCAGTTTTCATATGGTATTTGCATGACATGTGTCATGTTTGTATTCTTGTACATGTAGTGCATTTGAAGAGTCCATATTTCTTCTCTCAGTTTAAGTGGTATACACACGAACAAACTACACTTGCTACTTCAGTTACATAGTACATGTACTAAAGTCCATTTGTGTTCACCTGAGCCCTCATTTTCTTGCTATAACTTTTGACTTACAAGCTCTGTTTGGAAAATAAGCATATCAGTGCATTCCTCTCCTTTTGCCGCATCTATTGTGGTACTTAAGAAGTAGCTGTAGCTCTTAAGCTCCAAGTTGGTTGTATAACAACCAAATTGCATTGTGTTAATTATTGATTATTATATGCATTGTGTTAATTATTGGGTGGAGTTTGTAATTGCTTCCTGGGCTGAGGTGAATGCAAATGGACTTTAGCCATTTTTGCCACTACCTGGTAATTTTTCTACAACACCCACTCTTATTCAAACTTTTATATGCAAACCTTCACTATTTAATTTTATTCAAACTCCATAAATGAATGTACATTTACTTTCATAATCATGCCTCAACTCTCCTTAAGACACACAAGTTCGCGATGTTATGTACATGTATACATTCAGCGGCAGGTCTAGGGGGGGCCTGGGGGGGGCCATGGGCCCCCCCCAAAATTTTTGTGGTGAAGTATAAAATTAGTTTTATCTATGTAAACTGTGAAACAGCTGCAGTGCTTGACTGTGTAAACAGTCTGTAAACCACAAAGGAGCTCATTTAAGAGGCCTAATCTTCTAAATTTTGACTTTCCAAATGAAATCCTGCAAGCCTGGTTGACCGCACCCACTAATTATCCCACCCATATCATTAAGGCCCCCCCAGAAATTCAATCCTAGAACCGCCCCTGTATACATTGTCAGATTTATACAAATGTAATCATAATTCTCTCTCTCCCTCCCTCAGTTCCTCCTTCCCACCCCCGTGTGTCTCTCTTTCTCTTTATCTTACACTGAAGCTCCATCAATAAACCTAGGTAAGTTTATGATACTTAAAATTTAATTCTTTATTTCCTGTACATTATACATGACACTTGAATTTACAAGCAATACCACTTCATTCAAATTTTCGAAATTTAGTTTTGAACACTCATACACATGTAACATAACTTTTTCTTATTCAACTTAAGTTAACCTAGCCTGCAAACATTGCATGGAATGCCACTTCTATCAAGTTTCTTAACGTGACTTGTAATCACATTATAACTTCATTGTAGCAAAAATGTTTCAGCATCACACTTGTTCATAATAATACAATTAATTGTTTAACTTTCTTGTCTTCTTTTAGGCCTCCTGTAATGAATACAAGATTTCAAACTCTCGTCAAATTATATTTCTGTTAAATATAGATTTAATCTTATTTTTAACAAATATTGTTTATTTTTCTTATTTTCAATAGCTCAGGATGCTTCTTTTCAACTGCCTTGGATGCACTTTCAGGATTACTTAACAGGACTGATTACCTAAAAATTAAGAAAAATAATACTTTTCAAAATTGTACCAAGCAACTGCTTAAAAATTAATGCGCAACAAAAACAGTTGTTCATTTTTAAAAAGGATCGAAACTAGAACAAAAAAATTTTAAAAATTATTTAGTGTAGGGTTGAGCCTCAGTTGGATTTGAACCTATAAAATGAATTCAAACAAGCCCCTGTAGGGTTGCTGGTTTGAAAGTATAAAATGAATTCAAACAAGCCCCTGTAGGGTTGCATCACCATTGAAACACCAACATGTCAACCCTACACTGCAGGTATATATAATTGTCCAATCATTATCATTACTTTAAACTTAATTGAAGACATGCACAAGATTTACCATAATGCTTATTCAATCATTTAATTGCCACACTAGCATTGATAGCAATACTCATCAGTGCTGCTATAGGCCAATTCATACCTGCAGTGTAGGGTTGACATGTTGGTGTTTCAATGGTGATGCAACCCTACAGGGGCTTGTTTGAATTCATTTTATACTTTCAAACCAGCAACCCTACAGGGGCTTGTTTGAATTCATTTTATAGGTTCAAATCCAACTGAGGCTCAACCCTACACTAAATAATTTTTTAAATTTTTTTGTTCTAGTAATCAGAATCCCTATCATAGGGACATGATGTCAATGGCTATAGACTATCAATATTTGATGATGATGACAAGCAACATTCATTGTACCAGCATGCACTATAATCTACACCATTTGTGGAACTATTAATTTAAGTCATATGATGAATTGCATGTACCTAAATTCCTTGCATCATACAGCTAGTGTGTTGTTGTTGAATCTATCTATATGCTGGTTTGCTAGAATGTCATTACTTGATTGTATTTAAATCTATACTCTTGTAATTAAGATTGAATTGTTTTAGTATATTTGATGTTATAAATCTAGACATATAATATGTGTACATTTTGAGCCTTGTTGATCACTTTACCATCAAATTAAGCATACATGTAGCCATCGTTACAACCAAACACTCACCCAGTGCCAGCTACCTTGAATAGGCTCTGCGTAGTAATTACAACTCCACACTTCATTTACAAAGTTTTTCAGATATAACACTATGACACAGTTCGTAGTGTCAGTTGGCATTATTGGTCCGTCTTATAACACAATGACTACTGCTATTATGTTTGTTGTTGGGCTCCTTTTGTCTCTCCTGTATCTCAATGGAGTTGTTACTGCAGAGGATTGTGCCTGTCAGGAGGAAGTCAACAAAGCTCTCATTCAATCACTCGAAGGATGTACTGATACTCTTACTGCTATGGAAGAATGTAACAAGGAGCCCGGCACTGTTTTCAATCAGGCCAGAAAAGTCAAGATGGAAGCTCAAGCTGTAGGTGCTGCTATTTCTTGTGAATGTGCTAAAAAGGTAAGTGAAGCTCTTGCAAAGTCTTTGAAAGGTTGTGTAGAAGCATTAAGTGAAACTATGAGCTGTGGTGGGCCTAATCCATCTGTATCTCCATCATCTACTGCAGTATCCCCTACCACTTCTATTATTCCAAGTCCATCAATTGTCTCTACTTCTTTTACTCCAAGCCCATCACCTTCTCCTCCAGCCAAGTCTACATCTTGCAAAGAAATACTTAAAAAGAATCCAGCAAGTAAGACTGGTACATACACTTTGTATGACCCCATTACTGAGGAAGAATATAAAGTTACGTGTCTTATGACAAGCTATGCACAATGTGGCAATATTGCTGGTTTTACAAAGGTGCGTGTCTATATATTTTCCAAATAA